TCCAGAGTAGATCCTCATGAGTATTGAAGTGTGTGTACGCATCATAGGAGGAAGGGATTGAGGCTGAGAGTGTTCATTCAAGGTTTGGCTATGGAAGGTACTTACCTGAGTTGGTTGTGACCTGCAGAGGTGGCGCTGATGAGTAGTGACCACGTTGATGATTTGGAGACTATCTGCAAGGGTAGCACTGATTCACTGGAAGGCATATTGATGAGTTGGCAAGATATTGGTGTTGYGCTGATGAGCGCTGGACTCAGGGGAACTTTGAAACATTTTGTATTCATATTTCTGATAATATAAACTGTGAAACTCGGTCCTCATCTTCTCTATCTTGGTCTATTGTCAGACTACTGTTCATTGTGTGTGGGAGTACGATGCATGGCATGTACACACTTGCGTGAGATGGTCCCCAGGACCCATGCACTTCACAGCTTCAAATCATGAATCATACAAGAGTCCACCTCGGTCTCGTTTTTTTTTTTTTTTTTTCTTTTTTTTAACCCCTCCCCTGTTGTGTGTCGGGGCGGCTGAGCTCTTCTTCTTGTTGTTAACGTGAGGAATGGAACATGCTCACCGAGAATACAATTCCCGAAGCGTCTCCGGCATTTGTTACCTGAACAGTGAATACTGAAAGGTATTATGTTGCTACGATAGTTCTTGCATCATTTTCAGTTCTTGCGTCATCTTCTTGCATCTTTTTCAGGTGCGAAATGGCAGGATTATATATGTGCTGCAGTAGCAGGAATCAACAATAACAACAACAACGACAACAACATGAGACCTGATGAGATGAAGAGCATGGCAGGAGTCGACGGTTCGAGACCTGAGAAGAAGAGTGGAACAGTTTCATTTTGTGAAGAGGAGGCCAGGACAAGTGTCTGCAGCAGAGAAGTGGTGCGATTCAGAAGAATGAGGACCTGCGTCGTTCAAATGTGACAAGACGTACATTTACATCGAGTTGTTAGTAGGACCATAGCGTGAAGGCGATTTTCGACAGCGATCTAAGTGTGATTCAGAACGACGAGGGCATCTTCGACAGCGATCAGCAAGCAGGATTGGAAGGTAGCAAACACCATCGGATACCAGACACGAAGCCAAGCATGGGGCATCTGGAGGAGGAGTCGGTGATTCGGCTAAATCACAGGTTTCAACTGAGCAATGAAGGCAATGACGAACAATGCTTGGCTTCTGTGCATCCTAACAAACCGTGGCTGCTTTTCACGCGTCTTGTCCCAGGCGAAAGATCATTTGAGTTATGGGACTATGAAAAGAATGTGGTCATTGCCAAGTCACCAACGTCAAGCCGCACTGGCTGGTATGCTGCAGCGTTTGCTTATGACGAAAATTGGGTGATGATCTGGGATGAGCCAGAAATGCAGGTGCTTGACATATATAGCGAAGAGGTGGTGAGGCATTTCCAATTGCCGAACATAGAATTGCTGCGGGTGCGTCCAGGCCTACCGCATCTTCTTGTAGTGAAAGGTCTTGTGGAGATTCAGTTGTTGGATTGGGAGGGTGGATGTCTATGCATGGACACTTTCATAAGTGATTTAGAGGTCGACGTGCTGAAATTCCACCCGCGGGAACCACACATCTTCGCTGCTGCCTTGGACGACCGGACGATCAACATATGGGACATCAACACACGTTCCGTCGTCCAAACACTGGAGGGTCACTCGCACCATATCCGATACATGACATTCTCCGAGGACCCTCAGAAACCCCTTCTGATCGCCGGCGGGTGGAACGACGATGTCAGGGTCTGGAACTACAAGACCGGAGCCTGTCTAGCCGTTTTGACCGGACACACCGGCAAAGTCCGCGCGTTCACCTTTCATCCGCACCTGCCCTTCATCTTCACCACCGATGAGAGCGGCAACATTCGGCTTTGGCACGAGTCCAACTACGAGCTCGCGACAACCTATTCAAGTCAATTAGGATCGATCGGCACGATATTTCCCTGCGCGGATTCCAACATGATTGCTGTCGGAGGGCAAGGATCAGTTGCCCTGTATGAGGTGGTGGTCCCGAGGGCCACCTTGGACAATATCCCTAAAAAGGTCGACAATAATCAAGGTGTTCGCGTGCAGCCCAAGGGGGACGAGGTCAACGTCTATGCAGGGAGCAGGAGCATAGAGAACCTGACCATAAACCAGGCCCTGTGGATATCACTTCAGGAAGTGCACAAAACAGTGCGGAGGTTTCGCGATGTCGTAAGAAAGGTTGTGCCACCAATCAGGTAAGGCTGATTTTTTCAAACAGGCTTTGAGTTGGTTTCGCGATGCCGCCGTTTTCAAACAGGCTTTGAGTGCACAAAACAGTGCGGAGGTTTCGCGATGCCGCCGTTTTCAAACAGGCTTTGAGTGCNGAGGTTTCGCAATGCCGCCATTTTCAAACAGGCTTTGAGTGCACAAAACAGTGCGGAGGTTTCGCGATGCCGCCGTTTTCAAACAGGCTTTGAGTTATTGTTGCGCAGAGTATCGCTTGTGAATTAGTAAAGAGTACAAAAGACCTGAAGAGATGGAGACCAGAGCAAGGAGAAAAAGCCTGAGGAGAGGGCGCAATCAGAGAGGATTTGGATGCATCAGACACGTAGTGGAGCAGCACCCAGAGGGGGAAGAGAGGGAGATGGAGGAAATGAACCATGTAACCAGAAGGTGCAAGTGTTTGTTAGGAAGGCTTAAGAGAAAAAGCTGCACAGAAGAGGGCTCAGGGAACTCAACTGTCAGTGAGTTAGAGAAGGTGTGGTGAACAAAGCAGGATACATCCAGGCGGTCCCCCCTGGATGCATCTGATCTCAAGCGAAGTCTGCATGCATCCAAGGCCTCAGGAGCAGCAAAATTTGGACCAGTTTTCGGCCAAAAAACTCGGTTTCAATTTCGTTCGAAAAAAAAAAAAAAAAGAGTCCATTTTGAACGAAATGGCAGTTGATGGAGGAAATGAACTATACTATGTACCAGAAGGTGGTGCAAGTGTCGTTCCAAGGGCTTAAACCACCACCACCACTACTAAAGTTGTGCCCGCGAACAAGCCACAATTTTAGGAAACGTMCCAGCCACTACAGGAGAGTCCGAATACATCCAACTTTAAATGTTTCTAATCTATTTTTTTCCTCGCCCAATACTGGTGGTTTAAAAAAAGGAAAGCTACACAGAAGAGGGTTCAGTGCAGTCAGTTGTTGTTCAGTGCAGTCGATGCCAGTGGGCTGAGTTCCTTCCTTTTCCAAGCTACACGAAGGAGCGTCCGAATTAATCCTACACCTGGGCCAAGTACTGGTGGTTTAAAAAAAGGAAAGCAACACAGAAGAGGGTTCAGGGAACTCAATTGTCAGCGAAAGAGAGAAGGGTTGGTGAACAAAGCAGGGCGGGTTCTACTTTTTCTTTTTTTTTTGCCCCCTTCTGTTTTATGGAGGGAGAAATGCTCCGATCTTTATTCGTGGGGAGCAGCACGTGCTGCTGGAATTGAATTATTTAACTAAGCAGAAGAAGGTAGAATTGTTGCTGGGAAGGATCTTAGAAAGCTGCGAAGACGATTCGATGGAATCCGATTCCACTGTCAGTGAAGGAAGACACTTAGAGTAAAGGAGCCTCCAGTGGGTTGATTTCAAGACTTAGTTATAGATATTTGGTTGCAGGCTTGGCTGAGAAAGCTGACCTGCAGACTGAGTTGGGTTTAGAGAACGGGAACGCAGCACAGGTTAACTTCGTAGAACGATGATTACAGCAAATTGAACCAGCTACGTGAGCCTTAGGGGACTTAGTAGGTCCATCCATGGCAATGATACGATCCTACAATCGACTCGTCAAATGTCAAATGAGTTCCTTGGCGGCTGCAAGTTCGTAACGGCGGCATCGGGGGGCAACGTCAACTTAACACCGTTAAACCGCTAGTACATGGCGCCAGCCTTGTGGAATATTGTCCGTCCGTCTCCTACTCCGAGAAAGTCCGGGCCGGCACTCGCACCGTCGATAAATAAATGGGCGGCCGGCGTCGCGTTTCAGCCCCTCTGAAACGCACCCCCCGGCCAATGTATGGCATGTACTGGTGGTTGAAGCGTTAGTTCCCATCTCCAAATCGACGACTTGCTGGTGCAGTAGGAATCAGACCAATGGCCCGTGCAAGGTTTCTCAGGACTCTCCTTGCAGCGATGATTTGAAAAAGTGCATGCAGCAAATGAAAGCTTGCGAGACACGTGCATGTCTGCGGATGAAAGACAGGCACTCTGCAACTGTGCAGGGAGTCCGCAGACGATTGCTTCTTCTCGTCATCATAACGTTTGTGTTTGGGAAGAGAGGTACTAGGAGGTAGGTGGCAGAGAAGTTGGCCTCCTCTTAGTAACCCCATGATCCCCGACGACCCTCTTCTCTTGGCAGTTCGCACTAGAGCAAATGTGCGCCGCCGTCATTTCGCGGCACATGGCATGAGCAATGCAAGTGTGAGAGAACTGCATCCCATCTGGTGAGGGAGGAGTCAAGAATGGGAGGGGAGGGGAGGGGAATGCTTGCCCCGTGCATGCTGTCAGATTATTGCCACAGGTCTTCTACAAGCCTCACTATGGCGAAGTCTCAGGGCACATACTCACACTAGCAGTTTACTCATTGA